ATTTGAAAAAAAAGCTTCAGAGAAAATGCGCGGACGACAAAAAACAAAATTCTATTCGTTTTTCGGATTCTACGAATCCTGAAACGTAAAACCACAAATTTTGAAGGGGGGTTAAGTTATTGAATTGTTTGGTCGATTACAACTGTTCATTATTGAAGATAATAAACCAAAATGATGTAGTTAACATCTTGTGTGAGTAATTTGATAAATATCATGTATTTTAAAATTTTACCATGTAATCAAAGAAACTTTCACATACTGGATTAGAAGTGCTTGCAGGCCGTAGTTTGGAGATCCCAGGATTAGCAACCTTTTTATCATGAGAGAATAGTTTATTTCATATTAATATTTTATTATATTGTTACTTTCACTTACCTATATATGAAATATATATATTAAGCGACAGTACTGCTATCTTCAAAATTTTAGAATATTAGTTTTCAACGAAAATACATATTTTGAGGTCTCCTGAGTGAAAATAACCAAGTCCCGCAAAATGGTCTATGCGAGTTGTTTGCGTATGTCTGAGTGTATGTGACAGGTCTAGTTCAAAAACGAAAAATTGTATAACAAATGCATAGTTAAGATCTGTATATACCTGAGATCTTACAGCAACTTTTTCGTTAGCCGGCAGTGGCACTTTATATTACTCATGAAACTCATTTTTATTATTTTCTGGAAAACGGCTCCAAAGATTTTGATTTAATTCATATACCATTGTAAAAATAAGCAGTTTTAAAAATGATGTAGGTTTTATTCACATTGATGTTCTCTAACAGGAGTAAAGAAGAAATATGATATCGCAACAGAGAATACCAGACAGTTCCTTGTAACCTCCCTTGTATTCCCCGACTTCGACTACGGCTGTTTGGGTGTATGGAGAGCTATCTGCCAGGCTAGAAATGAGACTGAAGAGACTCATGAACTGTTTCATAAGATACATCTTCGGGATCCCCAGGCGTTCATATGTTTCACTCTCGTTCACCGAGTTGAAGTGGCTTTATCCTACTTCCCGACGACAATTCCTCCTTGGTGTTTTCCTTTTCCAAGTCTTAAGAACCAAAAATCCACCCTACATTCTGGAACTCCTTACTCTACAGTCCTCTATCCACTCTCTCAATACTAGGTCTCAACCTATATACTTATATATCCCCTACCATAAAACTTCCTCCTTCAGCAAATCCTTCGTCATTCGTGCTGCTTCCTTATGGAACTCACCTCCTACCTCCATGCGTCAATCCTCGTTCACAAATTCCTTCAAACAACTCCTGTTCCACCACCTACTCCACATTCAAACTTCCGCTAACATGTAAAATTACTTGCCTCTGTACACTGTTTAATTTCAATCTATTGCACAATTGAAATAACAATTAACATTTGTATTTTTATTATTATGTCAGACTAAGACCCATAAATTTGTAATTCTGTTATTATTCTTAGGTAACAGTAGTCCCAGAATAAAATTATTTTTTCATTTCATTTCAGAATAGTTGTAATGAAGGAACCAAAGGGATATGAGTGCGGCCGAGCTCGGCCCGAAGATTAGGACAGGCTTCAATTAAAAATAACACAATGAAATATAAATCAATATAGCGTTTATAATTTTTACTTTCAATTCCTCTTTGTCTGAAAATACCTATTTTTGATAAGAAGTAAGTGAAAGTTGTGTGATGCGCGCACCGCAGGCTGTAGCTACGTCACAGAGGCCATTTGCGGCCTCGAGACTGCAGCTTTCCCACCTATAGGTTAAGTTTAAAATTATATATATATATATATATATATATATATATATATATATATATATATATATATATATATATATACATACAAAACGGTTCAAAATTTTAAAGGACTATTTTTAATATGAGAAAAAGTTGTATGACCCATGGAATACTATTTTAAAGCATCATACATTGAATTGAGAGTGAAACAAGGTTTCCATGTAAACTTTAATTGTTATTAGTTAAATTTACATAGCAAACGACCTATAGGTCCCTCTGATCTACCAAACCACCTATAGGCTACTCTGAGCTACCAAACTACGCTCAGACAACTTCCCAAATAGGTCAATATTGTTTGAAACAACTGACAGTGTATCCACTGAGTTGTAGGGCAGTAATCACCTCTTGTACGGTTGGTGTCCAACGGGGACACTACATCGAATTGTAGGCAGGCATTTGAATATCAAAGCCCTATAATTAAGGCATAGATCCTATGTTAAATGTAATAAAGGTTTTTTTTTTATTATTTTTCTGAAGGTGAATCGTATATTCAAATTACAAATTCCATGGGCCAATCCAACATGGATTGCTTCAAAATTATTTATAAACACATAATTTTTTCGTGGAAAACTTACTATGTTTTTACGTTATGGCGAAATCGTCCACAAAACTGAAAAAAATAATCTCAAGAAGACCAATTTTAACGATAGTGTAACAAACAATTTTTTGTTTTCTAGTCATATTTTTTAGGTTCGGTGCCATTTATTTATGTTTTGTTATAAACAGCATTAGGCTAACGGTCGAAGGACTGTTTTTATAAACAGTCTTGTATGAATGCCTTATAGATGAACAGCACACTTCTATCTTATAGTTCTTACAGTTCTAGTTAATTCAAGGAGATTTTTTTTTTTTTTGTAACCATATTTATTGAGACATATTACAATCTGTCACAGTTAAAGACATTTATAATAGTGTTCAAAGAGCACATTCACACTCCATTCACAATAAATAATACAGTAAAATAATAATCCTAAAAATAAATGTATATAAACTAAATTAAACAAAAAGAAACTAAGCTAATGAAAATAACTACCCAAATACCCATATGCTTCTATACAAAATCTAAAAAAAAAATCATCCACTCTCCGAGCCAAGACTTCGCCCCCACTCGCGGAAGGAAAGGCAGGACTCTAGGAGATCCCAGCGCCCCTCACTCAGCCGCATTACTGGTATTAAAGACGAGTAGAGGCTGAGAAGAGGCGCTATAATTACACATACATGGCGCTAAGAAGGAATAAAAACGATATTAGGTGAAATAAGGGAATGATCAGCGACGAATTATATTATAATAATGTATTTTGAAAAAATGTTGTGAAGTGGTGCATGAACCTTGAAAATGGCTAGTGAAGCCGAAACGTTGAACAATAAATACATTATGTAAAAACGTGTATATTTAGTGACCTTTGGTTTAATGCTGTTATAAAAAAACAATTTTTGGTTGGAATTTACGCTTAAAACGGTATGAAAATTCATTAGCGTGAGTACGTACACCTGTTATTTTTGATCAAAATACTTTGAAAATGAGGATTTTTGCCTCTCTCAGAGCACTGTGCGGCGTCGAGGTAAGATACAATTTTGAATAATAGCCATTACAAAGAGTATGAAATAATGAACAGTTCCCTCGCTTACAGTATGCATGTCTGATTTTTAGTTTTTGAGATATTTTAATCCATATGAAAAAATAATTCAATTAGCCGACTCCAGCCAACTTTATCCGATACTTACAATCCGGAAATCCGACGGATCAATCTAGTTATCTCTAAACAAAAAAGTGCAAAACGCAGCTAAAGAAGTTTTCAATTCAATAACGATTTTTTCAAACATTTTTCATGTAAGGTGGTTATGAAATTGTGATTTTTGTCATATTTGGATATTTACATTTTCATGAAAATAATTGAAGCAATCACTATGGATGAATCTCAAATTTTTTCCTAATAAACCTCAACTCAATTAATATGGACTTAAATCTTATAATTCCCAGTCCGCTGGTGTTCCTCAATGTAGTATCCTAGGTCCTATCCTTTACACAGTTTATACAGCTGACATCCCTACCTGTCCCAACACTGTCATTACCACATATGCCGATGACACATGTATCCTATCAGTAAATAATCATCCACCAATTGCATCCCAAATGCTTCAATCACACATCATAAATCTTGAAGAAGGGTGTCAAAACTGGAGAATTAAAATAGACTCCAATAAATTCCATCAAATTCCCTTTACCCTTCGTCGTAAACCAACGACTGCCTGTCCTACAGTTTCCTTTAGCAATACTCCATTTATCCCTGTTGAGCAAATCCGATACATAGGACTCCACCTGGACAAGCGACTAACTTGGAATCCTTATACTATACTGAAACGACAAGAAACCGCTCTACGTTTCCGATTACTTCAGCACTTACTAGACAAACGCTCTAAACTTCCCATTAATTACAAAAGACTCATATACTTGACTATAATAAGATCTATTTGGACTTACGGAGTTGAGCTATGGGGCTCCACTAAACCATCGAATTCCTCTCGCATCCAATCCTTACAATCCAAAATCCTTCGTAAAATCCGCAATGCTCCTTACTTTGTCACCAATAAAATTATCCATAAAGATCTTAATGTTCCTTATGTTTCAGATCTGGCCCAATCCAGATCCAGGCCCAATCTTTCCATAATAAACTTCAGAATCATCCCAACCTTCTCGTTTCTAACCTTGTTTCCTCTTCAATTCCTGATAAACCTCTGAGGCGTCTGAAAAGAAGATGACCCCGTGATCTCCTAATGTAGTCATATCATTAGAGTGCTACCATTGGGTAGTTACTTAGCAAGTGTATTCATGTCATTATATCTATTATGTCCAAATTTACTAGATGTATTTATGTAATACAGTTGCAAATGTCATTAAGAAAAAAAAAATAATCTTATAAAATGAGAAAGTTTTTTGGGGTGAGTTTAGTACATTTAGGGTGATAAAAAAAAAAAAAAAATCACAAATACTTTATGACTTTTTTTAAAAGCAACTTAGTTGTGTTCATCCGTCCAATAGTTCTCTCTAAATATTTTTAGTGACAAACTCTACTTTCGTTTACAATAAATTTTGTCCACATTTTACTATGGAACAATGTTTAATTCTCTCTCCACAAAATAGTGCAAAACGCTCCTAAAGAAGTTTTCACTTCAAAAAAATAAATTAAGATAAAATATAATGAGAGAGAAGACACCCACCTTCGCCACCTTGATGATCTCCGGTATGTTGAGGTAGGCTTGGACAGGAGGGAGTCCTTTCCCGACCAGGTAGGATTCGTCTGCTTTTTGCCGGTGCATCTGCATCTTGTCCTGCTCGGAGTAGATGGCCACCGACCGGATCCCAAGCTCCGTACATGCTCGGAATACTCGAATGGCGATCTCACCTGCAACAAAGGGAGGGTTGTAGGGTCGAGTTCACAGCTACGAAGAGTTAGCAAAAATAAAAATAAACATTTAAGATTTAATTGAATATTTAATAATTGGCCGTTGAATTATAAAGGAAGGAGATAGTCCGGGGTGGCGTTCATAAATAAGCTAAATAGTGGCAAAATTATTTTATTAGACAGTTCTAAGTGAAACTCTTAGCTTAACACACCTCCCTGAAGAAGACTTGCAAAGTCGGGTCGAAACGTTGGCTTTTAATATAATAGTTTTGCCACTATTTATGACCGCCACCCCGGACCATCTCCTTCTTTTTTAAGATTTAAGTTACTCACCCTCCGAGGCATCTGAAAAGACGATGGCCTCGAGATATCCTTTTGTAAATACATTTTTAGAGTGCTACTAGTGGGTAGTTTCTCAACATGTGATTTCATGTTATTATGTTCTTTTGTTCACATTTACTGTATGAATTTTATTTGTAATACAGTTGTAAATATCAACAAAAAAAATAAATAAAAAAAAGTTACTCTAACATATTCTACAAGCTAAAATATTACTATTTGGTTGGCAAATAAGTCCTTTTGGTTTTTATTTTTATGTCACTAGGATACATTTCTTAACCGATAATTAATCTCTAAGGTGGATTCTTTATCCTGTTTGTAATATGTCAACAACTATATCTGTTAACTCTTGTTGAAACTAGCTTAGTATTGTGTTTGCTATTGCACTGTGAATATGGAAGAAAATATTATTCATTATCGACAAAGTTTGTTATATTATTTTAATAAAGATAAGCGTGCTGCAGAAGCTCATAGAAAAATTTGCAGTGTTTACGGGCACGATGCCTTAACCGAACGCACCTGTCAAAATTGGTTTGTCAATGATGCTCAACGGTCTAGTCGCCCACATGAAATTGAAACAAGCAATGTTAAGGCCGTTGTTGATCGAAATCCCACCCAATCAGTGCGAGAGATTGCTGTGGTCCTAAATATGTCGCACACAATCGTAGAAAACAATTTGCACAAGCTCGGCTATGTTTCCAGACTTAATGTTTAAGATCCTCATATGATTTTGTTTCGAAAAATAAATATTATAAAGAAAAAAATATTATAACAGGACCTTCAACAAAAATAGGAATTTTTGTTTAATTATTCCTTATGTAGGCATTAAATAAAAAAAACATTCATATGGCTTTGAAGAGCAATAATTCTCCTTCCAACGGATATAGTAACTTAGTGTTCCACCAAGACAAAGCTCATTGGTCACTCGCAATAAATTTTTGACCCTTGAATGAGACCTTTTACCACACCCTCCCTTTTCACCAGACCTAGCTCCAAGTTACTAACACTTATTCCGGTCTCTGCAGAACTCCACGAATGTAATGAAATTCCAAAAGGAACAGGACATCAAAAATCAATTTTTTTAACAATAAACCCCAGACATTCTATGAACATGGCATTATGAAATTAGTGGAAAGATGGGAAAAAGTAAATAATGGTCAATATATTGTTGATTAAAATAAGTTTTATGTACATAATGCATTAAGTTTTATATCACTCTGAAAGGACCGAAAGGTATGTGCCAACCGAATATTTATCATAAATTAATAAATTCATAGTGCATTCCATCAGTTTCAATCTAAACTCTGATGGAGATTTTTAATTCTAATAGTTCAAGGTAAACGGTACTTCACATACCAAAAACTATTTTCGGATTTTATTTTATCAATGCCATAGAAACTGCTACTTCTAAGAGTAGTTTATATTAATAATCTTCCTTTTTATAATTATAATTATTTTTGATTAAATAAATTCCAAAATAGTGATTTATCGCACTTTTAAAGAAATATGTTATTTTGAAAGACCGTTTTTATAAATTACTGAAATTAATGAGCTATGTCAGGGCTCCAATAAGAGCTGGTATACTGCACTATAAAGTATTTTATTATAATTATCTACGTATAAATAGCTTTTTCCTTGATATTTGGCGAAAAAACAATATTGGGTTAAAAAAAACTAATTAAATAATTCATATTCATGAATTATGAATTTTAGTTATAGGAGGGAAGCCCTTTCCCGACTTTTTTGGCAACTCGAGAGTTTAAAATTCCATGAGTTCCCCCTTTTCATTGGGAGCCATTTTGAAACACAGCTGACAGTCCAGTGTGAATTTTATGCAATGGATGAACATTGTGACGATATAACAGACTAAACGTTTTATTTGAAGAGTTAATGAACATTAAATTATAAGGCGAATGTGGAACCGATATTACAAAAATATTATATTATATTACAAAAATATAAAGTCCGAATATGGTCGACTGATGAGATTGACATCAAACGCATCCAATCCTTCCAGTCTAAAGTCCTTCGTACAATAGTAAATGCTCCTTATTATGTTACAAACAAAACTCTACACCATGATCTTAACATCCCTAATGTTCTTGACGTTAATCCATTCCGTTTCTCAAATTTTCATCAAAACCTATTCCATCATCATAATCCCTTAGCAAAATTTTTATCCATCTCCAGCCATCCCTACAATCCTCCTCGAAGGTTAAAAAGGCAGTGGCCTCGAGATCTTTTGTAAATACGTCATTGGAGTCCTAGCAATGGCCAGCTTCTCTTTTAAGTCATGACCGTTGGCTTTAGTGTCCTTTCTCAATCTCCACTGGATCCTCATCTCAGTGACGCAGCTGAGAGAGAAGCGCTGGGATCTTTTAGATTCTTGCCTTATCCTCCACACGAGGGTAAAGGGCCCGACTTGGCGCTTCCTCGGCTGATTGTAGATATTGTAAATAAGTATGAATTTTTTTTTCTTATTTATTTATTTTATTTTTATTTGTGTTGCATCATATTTTATTTCATCTGTTTTACTTCTTTCTCATCTGTTCATCTGTTTCTCTTATTTTTGGTATACTTTCTATTATTTTTGTAATTGTTTATATTGTACGACTGAGTTTTTCACATCTCAAATACTCAAAGACCTTGATTGAGGCAAAATGTATTTATTCAATAAGATACAATAAGATTTAAAAAGATACGACCGAAAACAAAATGTTTATCAAATTTCGTAAAAATTTGACCAAATATAAGTTTCATGCTTCGTAATACTATTACCACCACCTTGTTGATGAAACAAGGTATCATATTAGTTAATAACGAGCCATAGGTTGAGTTTTGGGGTTACACTAAGTCATCAAATTCCTCTCGTATCCAATCCTTACAATCCGGAATCCTTCGGAAGATTCTGAATAATCCCCACTTTGTCAATAATAAAATCATCCATAACGACTTTAATGCTCCTTATGTTTCCGATTCGTTCACATTTACTAGATGTAATAATACAGTTGTGGATTCCAGAATAAAATTTAATATATATATGTATATTTAATAATAATACTTTATTTATTCTGAGACCTTTAGGATAAGAATAAGAAAATCAGAAATGTGGGATATAGAGCTTTAGAGATACATAAAAATCACGAAATAAATAAAGAGTCATAATAAAAAAGTATAAATTGCTTTCTAACTTAAGAAGAATTAAATTAAATAAATTAGGAAAAACAAATAAAAAACATAAAGTAAAAATAATTAAGAACGATCCAATAATTTATATACATATTTACAATACATTTTTATTTGATATGCGGTATTATCACAGTCAGCCACCTTCTCCTAAAATGTTCTTAATATATGTTGATTCTAACCAAATTGGGACCGAAATTATCAATAGTTTTAAATAATGACGAAGTTAAAATAAAATCGGTGATGAATTTTCTTAAAGATAATGATTTACTAAAGAAAATTTGAATCTTACACTAATTTATTGCTGAAATAATTGAAATGAAGATTAGATAGGCGTTGATGACCTCTGGGTTTTACGAATAAACAACAACAACAACATATTTACAGTGACATCTATTTACAATTTTATGGATACTGAATGAATCAGAAATGATTGAACAGGCGGGATTCAAAGGTAGGGAGGGTTTTGTAGTAGCGGATGCAGGAAGGGATTGAGTTCCATAGGGATGAGGATCGGATAATGAATGATCTGTCGAAAGCGGCTATGATTCGATGATTTGAATTGAAGGTGTTCGAAGATATATGAAGGAAGGCGGGATTTGGATGACTTGAAAGAGGAAGGATGCCAGGAAATACTTACGACGTTATGAAGGATAAAGCCACATCAACACTTCATAAAAACAGGAAACAGAGGCGTCTCTTGGGATCCCGAAGATGAATGGTACAAAAGCAATTTATCAAACGTTTTAGTTTCGTCTCGAGATTCTCAGAGACGCTCCCAAATATCGCATAGCAGTAGTGAAAGTGACGAAATATCAAGGAAGTTATTAGGAGCTTATGGGTTTCAAATGGAAATAGGTGACGGAAGTAATTTAGACGTTTTAAGGTAGAAAAGATACAAAAAACATGGCTTTTCTAGGAAAGCGTTTGATCAAAGGTTATTTCAAGATTTTTCTTGATGGGATTATCATGTAGGGACAGGGTTTGAATATTATAAACAGTTTTAAAAAGGTGATTGGAGCGTATTAAAATTGCCTGTGTCTTCTACGCATTCATCTTCAACTTGTTAGCTCTTGTCATGTAACAAATCCGATTTAGGTCTCCTTGAAGTTTTTTTGTGGCTGATAATAGGTCAGAAATCGGGCAGGATATTTGGAAATCTGCATATATGTGGTATCGGGAATGGTGGGTTAGGAGGAGAAGGTCATTAATGTAAACAGCAAAAAGATTAGGGCATAAAGGACCTTGAGGAACACCACAGGATAAGGGAAGAACCTTAGTGCGTATGTATATATATATATATATATATATATATATATATATATATATATATATATATATATATTTGATGATATATATATTATAACATTTGATATATATACGCACTAAGGTTCTTCCCTTATCCTGTGGTGTCCCTCAAGGTCCTTTATGCCCTATTCTTTTTGCTGTTTACATTAATGACCTTATATATATAG